CCCCTCTTATGAATTTGGTGTGGGTCATCTAGGCCTATACTGTGAAATATAAGAGCCACTAGCTACATTGCCTATTTCAAATTTTTTAAAATTTTAATCGAGTTTTTTTATTTTCTATTTTTTTAAATTTTTATTAGTATACATAATACATAATGTTTACATGCCCTGTGTGGAGTTGGTATATGTACATAACAAACCTTAATTCCTTTTTTCATCCCCTTTTTCTCCTCTCCCTCCCCCAGTTACACTAGGTCAGTGGTGGTGAACCCATGCCATGCATGCTGCACTGGGCTACTTGTATCATAGAAAGCTCTAAAAGGTTCACCATCACTGCACTAGGTTTATCTCATAGAGTCAATAGGTACATGTGGGTTATATAAAATAGAAAATTCAGCTAAGCTGATCTAATCACATTTCAAGTGCTTAATAGACACTTGGCTAACAGCTACTGTATTACTGCAGATATACAATGTTTGTATCACTGCAGAAAGGTGTAAGGGACAGTGCTTCTATGGAACCTATAATACTTTTACTCAAGCACTACATGCTGCTTGGCATGGTGGTACACACTTGGAATCCTGGATACTCCAGGGAACAAATATTTGAGGTCAGTCTGGGCAGTGAGACCCTGTCTCAAAATAAAGTAAAAAGACTAAGGATATAGTAAGTGGTACAGTACTTGCCTAGAATGCATGAGGCCCTGGGTTCAAGCCTCAGCACTGCATAAAATAAATAAAATAAAAAGTTATGTACCATTGAAAAGAGTGTAACTTTTGAGTTTTTAAGATTTATACTAATGCCTCCATGTTGCAAATTTTTTCTTAATATGTTTATATGGTTTGTTATGCATATTGTTATACATAATCTAGTTCATTCATTTTCCCTGTTGCTTAATGTTGCATCACACATCTGGCCACAAATAAACATTTAGGTATTTTTGTAATTGGAAAGGACTGGTATGTGACACTAAGATTTCTTATCCATGAAAATGGTTTTATTTCTTTTTCCAGTAATTTTTTCTACTGCTGTATTAAATTAATCCATCAAAACATCAGACCAAAACCTAAAACAAATAACTGAAACATTTCTACCCCAGCACCTACAGAAAGAAACCAAAAACCTGGTTATTACTTAATATACACAACATCTACAGTGTGTCAGGACTTGGGAGTTATAATAAATAAAATATAAATAAGAATGCCCAGAAAATTAATGAAATGTTGAATTATTTCCATATAAATAAGAGTCAAGACTGAAAACAAAAGTTGTGTGGTCTTTATTCGTGATTACTGGCTCAAAGCCTCAAAACCCTTATAATATTTGTTATGTTAATGAGTGACTCTGCCTGAGCCCCAAGGTTTCTAGGTGGGAGCTGGTCACCACAAAGACCAACATATGATTTAAGGTTTGGGACTTTCAGGCAGGTCCATTTCAGAGGAGGGAAAGGGACCCAAAGACTGGGCTCAATCACAGCCTTCTGTAATGAAGTCCCAATAAAAACTCTGGATACTATGGCTCCACTGAAGCAGCTGGAATTTACTGATGTGCAGAGGGAGACACATCCTAATTCCATGAGAAGAAGGTACAAAAGCTCTGCATTTTTCCCAGATTTTGCCATGTGTCTCTTCACTGGCTGATTCTCCTGACCTGTATCTGTATCTGTGATAATAAAACTGTTATCATAAGTGTAGTACTTTCTTTGAGTTAAATTGTAGATTACTGAACCTGAGGGAGTTAGAGTGACTTTCAAAAACCAGCCAGTCAGTCAAAAGTGAGAGCATCCTGGAGATATCTGAACTACAGCTGGCATCTAAAGTAAGAGCAATGTAGTAGAGAAAACTAAGCCTTTAACTTATGAAGTTTGATACCAACTCCTGGTTACCATCAGAAATGTACTCAATTGGGAGTGACACAAAATGCGTGTAAGTCAATTAAGTAGCAGCTGTTAAACAATGCTCTGAAAAGAGTCTTGGACATTTCACTCATCAAAGTTAGCCTATTATTATAGATAATGATTTAAAAAGGCCCAATCACTCATAAAATATCCATGCTTCTTACACTTTAATCAAGGAAAACAACTCTTGAAAGGGGACAAAAGACTATTCAACTCTTAAGGTTAAATAACCACCAAGAACTCTCAAGAAATTATGAGCGGCCGGAGATTTAGCTCAGTGGTTTTGCCGCCTGCCTTGCAAGCGCAAGGACCCAAGTTCAATCACCAGTACCGGGAAAAAAAAAAAAAAAAAAAGAAAGAAATTATATGAGGCCCTTAACCTGTTCTGGTCCTATTAGTCCCATGTTTTTTGTTGTTGTTGTTGTTGTTTTTTGGTACCGGGGATCAAACTTGGGTCCTTGTGCTTTCGAGGCAGGCGGTCAAACCACTGAGCTAAATCCCCAGCCTAGTCCCATGTTTTTCTAAAAGGGCAACCTGCAAAACTACTTATCAGCAAGTAACTTGGCTATATTTGTGAGGGAACCCACCTTTTCCATTAAACAATGAAACAGTAACATTTCCCACTGATTTTTGAAGGAACAGACCAACTTGTATCTTTTTCTCTACTACTACTGTTCACTATACCTTAGCTAATGAAAAGATAGCTACTATCAATTCAAAGATCTTTGATTTCTTATGGGGCCAAAGGTGTAGCTCACTGGTAGAGCACTTGCCTAGCATGTGTGAAATTCCCAGCACTGCAAAAGAAAAAAAAAGACTTCTTATTAAATATAATATACTTATTCAGAAATAATACACTATTTCATGTTCCAAAAATAATACTGAATTTGTCAAGTTAGTCCTAGAACTAAGAGCAAATTTTACAGAAAATATTTCTGATCACCTAATCACCTACTATTTGATAAGTGAGATGCCACAAGATAAGAATTCTACAAGTTATTACTTTGACAGTTTGTCATCTAACTGGGGAGTTAAAATACATATATGAAAGAACTTAGGTTCTTAAACAACATATTTTTAAGTTTCAAAGACTACAAACTGAGCACACAACGGCCAATTAATATAATCAGAATCAATGAGAAATTACTGAACATTTAGTTTTCCACTTAATATAAAGGTTTACAGTAGTCACTGAGACACAACATAACTTGTAGTCAATATTTCATGCCTTGAAATTTTCCAGCATAGATTTACAAGGTGGGTATATAATTTATCTCATGCTTAAGTAAAGTTTTTTTGGTATTTAACTATGATGCAACTAAGGCCAGGCATGGTGGCCTATTCTTGTAGCACCATTCCTGGGAGGCTGAAGGGGTAGGAATACATGAGCCCAGGAGTTCAAGACCAGTCTGGGCAATATAACAAGAACCCTGTCACAAAAACAAACAAACAAACAAAATAAATCAGCAAATAAATAAATAAATAAATAAAAAGAATCTTAGTCTTTACCTATAATTTGCAGGTTGCAGTATCTACATACAACCTTAGTTCACATTTGACATTTTTACATGCCAGAGAATGGATTAAACAGATTTTTTTTTTTTTTTGGTACCGGGGATCGAACTCAGGACCTTGCCCTTGCAAGGCAGGCGCTGGAACCACTGAGCTAAATCCCCAGCCCCTTAAACAGATATTATAAAATGAAGAATCAAGAAGAAGCCATGGAGAGCAAAGAAACATAAAAAATATTCAAAATTGAAAAAAATTTTTAAAATAATTAAAGTCTATTCAAGTACACAACACAGAATCATGAAAAGATTTCATCTTTCTAAAAGGAATTATTATATACCGTGACAGATCTAATCAAAGATTCTTGTAAAAATACTTCTAAAATATAGAAAATTTCATTAAGTCTCAAACAAAGTTGTGGTTTTTAGTGTAAATACAGCTTACTATAAATGAAGGAAGACAAAGTTGTTGATAGTGACATAGAAATGAGGGAAGGCTGGTAGGTAAAAGGGCTATAAAGGTGAATTACATAAAACACTATAAAAGTCTAGCCAAGCACAGCACACCCCTGTAATCCTGGCACTTGGGAGGCTAAGGCTGGAAGATCACTGTGGGTTCAAAGCTAGTCTACCGTACAAAATGAATTCAAACCCAGCCTGAATTATACTACAAGGCCTTGTCTCATAAAACAAAACACATTTCTAATACTTAGTCATAAAACAATATACTACATAAAAGATTCAGGAAACAATACATAATCACCATTTTTCTTACTACTGAGTAAATGTGTAACCAGAAAGATAATGAGAACTTATAAGAGGCAGAAATTCTTTTTTTTTTTTTTTTTTTGTACCAGGGATCAATGCACTTGCGAAGCAGGCATGGTGCTGCTGAGCTAAATCCCCAGCCCAAGGCAGAAATTCCTTAGTTGAAAGCAGAGAGGACAGAGGCCATTTGCCAATAGCATGGCACAAAATAAACAAAAAATTGAAGCCTTTTTTAATTTTAATAAAAATGTAAAAGAAACCATATATACATCAAATTTAAAGAAGAAATACTGCTTATAAACACAATTACTAGCAGGAATTTATTAGACTTAAGACAGCATGTACAAAAAAAATCTATGGGTCAGTTTTTTTAATCTAGCAGAGATGTCATGTTTACTTTTTCATGTGTCACATCTAAAGTTTATGCTGTAAACTTAGAAATAAGATGTTCTGGGCTGGGGATTTAGCTCAGTGGTTCCGCCGTCTGCCTCGCAAGCGCAAGGACCCAAGTTTGATCCCCAGTACCAAAAAAAAAGAAATAAGATGTTTTGAGTTCTATTTTTCAAAAGGGCAAGTTTATAATTTCACATTCCAAAATTTTAATCAAGCAAACAAAAAAATCTCATTCCCAAGAGAAAAGCAAATTAATATAATGAAAAATGTTTTCCATATGTTATTTGGTGTTGCAATACAACAATTGGCAATAAGGTAAGAATCTTACCATAAGGTTATCTATTAGGTGATTTTCTTTGCAGTGATTGCTTTCTCTTTTAATAGAGAAAAACCCATAGTTTATGCACAAAGAAATACTCAAGAGTCTAGATACTAACCTGGCCCAGTCCAGGCATACCTCCTCCAAGTCTAAGAAGTCTGTCCATATTTCTAGAAAACAGAAACAAAGGAAAAATGTTCCTAAGTACAAAAGTGTTTACTCAATTGCTATCTATATAATTCACCTTCAGTCACTCAGTATGTCAAAAATATTGGTGGTAATTACAACACAACATCAGACTTCCTGTTAATTAACACCACATATTAATTCAAGAAGCTGTCTTCCATGCTAATTAACAGACCTTATTTTACTGCTTTGGTTTTGGGTTATCCCCAGTTTTAAAGACAAGCAATCTTAGCATACTTTCAAAACTTTGCTATCATTAAGTTAATTATATTTGCTTATTGTTATCTAATATAGTACCTGAATGAGGAAAAAATGCCTGAAATGCTTATCATATGTATGATTGAATTTCCTTCAATTTGTCCAGAGTGAACAAATAAAAATCCTCACTTTTAAATTAAATTTTAACATCCTCATTAGTAAGTTCTGTGCTAATTAACTTACAACTTGTCAGTTATCATCAAAACTACATGTGAAAGACATTGTGAGCAGATTATAGATCTCTGAATTAGCATCAAAGGCTTTTTAAAAATGAACTCGTTATACTAAAAGAAATACTATAGAGTAAACATTAAATGCATTAAGATAGTGTTTTAGAATCTAACCAGATATTTTGTGTTATTTCAGATACTGTTGATATATATATCTTCTTCACCAAGAACAGCACCAAGCTGCTATTCTCAATTACAATTTCAGAGTTAATCAATATAAAGACAATTAACTTTGAAATACTAATCTGATTTATTTTCAATATTTGCTACTGTAAGAATGAGATACTCAGAGAAGAAATAAAGATACAGCAAGCATATTTATTTAGCCTCAAATATACAAAAAGTAATCAAATTATTAAAATCACCCTGGATTTGATCCTCAGCACTGCAACAACAAATAATGCTAAATAAAAATAAAGAATAACAGAAGTACAAATAAATTCTTAAGAAATGGAAACAAAACATTTTTTCCACTTAAAAATAGCTACTGTGCCTTAAAATTTCTCTTTGAAGTATGTTTTAGAAAAATGGTATTGCCTTCAATTATATTCTAAATTAAATGCTAATGGATCAGTCATTTGTCTACTTTACTAGTTAGAACTGCTATACAAACTAAAACTCAATAATGTACTTATGATCATTTTATTTCTACCCAATCATCTTTGTTGAATCAGTAATAATTTAATCCTAATATTTAACCATAATAATACTGCAAACTATTCAAATCCATACATAAAGATGTAAAAATAATAACAGCCATGAATTCTTCACAAAGTGAACACATGGAATAACCATTACCTAGATAAAGAAAGAAAGTATTATCCATACCTCAGCCTTGCAAGCCCCTTTCCACTCTAGTAATCTGCAAAGGTAGAATTCCAACTTTTAACAACATGGATCGTTTTGCTGTTTTTAAATTTTACAAAAACAGAATCATATACTTCTTGTGCCTGGCTTGTTTCACTCAACTTTTATGAAATTCACAAGAGATAAATTCATTTTTAAAAAGGAAAAGGCATGAAAATGTGATAGTCCAGATAAAATTTCCACTTTACAAACTTAATTCATCCCCTAATAACATTTACAAATAAAATCTCCATCACATTCTCATTAAAATTCCTCAACTCAAATATGGGATTCAATAGGCAGCACTTTTAAAAGGCTGCAGACTGAAAAAAATCCTGCATATTTTTAAATATTAAAGACATTAGAATATATTATTAAAGAAAAAACTCTCTCCTGGAACATTACATGCATACAAACATACAGAACCAACAAGAAAAAACAATATAGAATATATATGTACGTATTTTAGGCCAAAGCCAATTCCCAGCTGTGTTCAGTTTATCTATTCCCTCTGTGTTGTTTCTGATGACTTTACACTGACTCCAGATGCTGTGAATATACATGAGCAATGTGGGGAGCAGAGGGAAAGAAAATCTGGCAGGTCAAATTTGTGTTTTTAGTAAAACTAGATGTCTCAGCAAACAGGAAAAAATATTTAACAAATTAAAAACATTTAAGATAAGATGACCACATTGAATAAAAATACTAACATTTGGAATATAGTGATAAATATTCTAAATCACACTACTTTTAAAAATGTGGTTATCTATCACACATATTTATAATCTAATGACTGTTAAAAATAATACATTTTCATAGTATTTATCATACTTAAAAGTAAAATACATTCTTTTTTTTTTTGGTACTGGGGATCGAACTTGGGTCCTCGCGCTTGCGCAGCAGGCGGCGAAACCACTGAGCTAAATCCCCGGCCTGTAAAATACATTCTTAAACCTTACCTGTTCAGTAACTGTAACTCTTAAGGCGTTAAGCTTCAATTTGTCAAGTTAACAAATTTCTTCGTAACTCAAACTCTTGCTAATTCTGGCAAGTATAATTTTTCCAAGTATTTTTTCGTCTCCTAAAAAATGAATAAATGAGATACAATTATTTTGAGAATTAAGGAGTACATTTTAATACCAAAATCTTAAGAACAAAATTTCTAAAAATGAAATGGAAATCAAAATTGATTTTGGGGTGGGGTGGGAGGTACTGCACCTTAGACATGCTAGGTAAGCACTTTTACCACTGAACTATATCCTTAGTCTTAAAATCGATATTCCTGAGAGTACAGAATAATTTATCATCCCAGGCAGCTACAGAGCATTGTTACTAATCCTATATCCAAATTCTGTCTATAGATTTCATTTTCGAGTACTAACTTTGAGGACTGACATTTTATGACTTTTAGTCTTTCTGGAAGCCTTGCAAAAAACAAAATTTACTTGTATTTTTAAACAGACCAGAACTCATGCAATTAATAATGTTATTTATACATTATTACAAATATGTGATGTCTTATGGGATCTTAGTGATCTTAGTGAATTAGTTCATCACTTACTAATTTTTCACAACTATAGCTCCCCCCAAATGTAACAAGAAAATAAAATTGTAAGAATTGTATATAAAACAATGCAATAGTCAAACAACTTATAACAGCTACATAATCCTTCAGTTTTTATTGTTGCCCAAAGTACTGATTGATCTTTCAAAGCAGATATAAAAAAACTAGAGGCATCATCATTGTATTCTTCTTCTTTTTTTTTTGGTACCAGGGATCGAGCTCGGGTCCTTGCGCTTGCGCAGCAGGCGATGAAACCACTGAGCTAAACCCCCGGCCCCTGTGCTCTTTCTGTTTAGAAACTTTCATTGGACCCCCTTGAGAATTCAGAATTTTTCATTTTCCACCCATAATACCAAAGGGAGGAAAACTAACAGAAAAAGTCTCACAATTAGGGAACTACGAGGTGAATGCAAAGAAACAGGAAATACTCTAGTCTCTAACAATGACAATAAAATTTATGGTACATGCCATCAAGTTTAACTTTGGTACCACTGACTCAGAAGTAGTAAGTTTTCGCTGGGGGAAGGAGACTCTTGTGCATTATAGGATGTTTAATAGCATCCTTAAAAAAAAAACAAAAAAAAAACTAAACACCTGGGCCTCTACACACTACATCCCAGTAAGTACTTACACAGTCATGACAATAAAAAAGTCTCCAAATATTGCCAAATGTTCCCTAAAGGGTAAAATCACTTTCAACTGAATGAAAACAAAACCTCAAACTGTAAGTACTGGAAACAGCTTGAAGGTTCCTCAAAAATTTAAACAGAATTACTGTATGACCCACCAATTCTACTCCTAGGAATATATCCCAAATAATTTAAAACAGGTCATTAAAATAACTACATGTACATGCACACCTATATCACTATTCACATCAGGCAAAAGGTGGAGACAATCCAAATACCGACCAAAGGATGGATGGAAAACAGATTTTAATAGGGTCTGTGTTTGTGTATATATGTAGAATACACATATATATATGCATGTATGATGTGGTCAAAAAACACGGTTCATGTTTAAATTTTTTAAATTTATTACGGTAAAAGGCACATTGCCATAAATTCCTAAAAACATTCACCTTCTCTTGGGATACTCTTATTCCATCTTTCTTGCCACTTTCTGAAATAGTTCTGGAAGCCTTCTTTTGTGTCTTTAGCTGCACTGTGGTAGCTGCCTTGATGCTCTGAACTGATTCAAAACATTTGCCTTCATGCTCACTTCAACTTTGGGGAAGAGTGAAAAATAGCACAGGGCCCAATACAGTGAATAATGGTTTTAGGAGCCTGCCTTTCTGTTGGATTGGACTTGGTAGCTGCATTCACCAAATATTTGATCACATCTTGTAGAGACAAAAAGACTTCCAGAAATGCTTTAGAAAGAGGCAAGAACAATCTGGTAAGTGTTTTCAAAGTGAGGAGAGTATTTTGATGCAAAATGATGGCAATGTGTTTTTTATTATAATAAATACTTTAAATTTAAAGATTCACTGTATAGTTTGATCACTCCATGTATGTACAGATAGAATTTATGGACTATTATTCAGCTATGTAAAGCAATTAGTACTGATATATTTTACAAGGTGGCTGAACTTCAAAACATTATGTGAAAGAAGCCAGGCATAAAAAGTCACATATTTGGCAATTTCTATCTATATGAAATAGTCAATCCATATGGACAAAATCCAGACTGGTGATCACCAGGGGTTGAGAGAGGGGAGAAAAATAGAAAAACTATTGGATAAGAGTTTTTATCTTGGAATGATGGAAATGTTCTGGAGCTAGACTGAAGTAGTGATTATACTACACTGTGAATGGACTAAATGACACTGAACAACACACTTTACAATGATTAATTTTATTTTATTATTTAATTTCTCTCCAATAAATTAACAAAGGTCTTCAAGAGTGAATATTTCTAACACAAAAAAGAAGTGACAGTCTTAGTAAGTTATTTAATAATGCTATCATACACTATTTTGCAATAAGTACCTATCTTGCTAAAGAGACATATATCAGGTATTCTTTGCTCTTTTATCACGCTGGTACAGTTCATATGTAGACAAATGCTGGAGTGTAAACAAAGGTGAATGAAAGAAAACATAATATAAAAATGAAAAAATCTACTGAACTAATTCTAACTGGTTTTTATAAATTGAAAAAATGAAACTTACAACTATGGAACAAAAATGATAGCTATCTTCTTTCAACAAAATTACGAACTATCAGCATTCTCAAAAGTATTGGAATTGGGAAGATGGGGCAAGCTCTGGAGATGTATGGTGGTGGTGGTGCTGACAGTGATTCAATAATATCAATGTACTTAGTGCCCCTGAACTGCATACCAACAATGGTTACAATGGTAAATTTTATATGATGTAAATTTTAAACACTTCCCACCCCATACACAAAGTATAGCAAGTACAAGAAGAACCAGAAGAAATAAACTGAGGTCTATTAAGAGATATAGTCATGCTTTTTTTTTCCTCTTTTAATGGTGCTAGGGCTTACACACGCTTTGCAAGCACTCTACCACTAAGCTACACTCCCAACCCCTAGAGATATATTTGAAATACAGAATTGATCTTTACAAGACAGATATGTTCCAGGTTCACACATGATAACTGATGAACGGTTAACTACACTCAAAGGATGTTGTCCATTTCAGCTACATATACAGTACCCTGAAAACCAGGAAAATAAACAAACATTTGGATTTGCTATGTATAAGCTTTATGACTATTTCTAATATAACTTTTTCACTATCCCTTATTTTTACTTATGCAAGTTATTTGTAAAAGGACCTATAAGTGCATATAAAAGTATGAGGCCCACTGAACCCAGATGATAAATGATGATGAGTATTTGTCCTGGTATATGATGGTTAAGTGCCTTGACTCTGCAGTTAAGAGTGCCAAGTTAGCCAGGCATAGTGCACCCTCTGAGAGGCTAAGGGAGGAGTATCGACAAGTTTGAGCCCAGCCTGGACAACTTAAGGAGATCTTATCCCTAAGTAAAAAACTAAAAAGGGATTAGGGATATAGTTCAGTGCAAAAGCCCTTGGTTCAATCCCCAGTACTGCCAAAGGGAAGGGGAGGGAAGGGAAGGGAAGGGGAGGGAAGGGAAGGTCATAGTAAATGCCCACACTTGCTGGGCATGATGGCACACATCTGTAATACTAGTACTCCAGAGGCTGAGGCAGGAGGATCAAGTTCAAGTCCATCTTGGGCTACATAGCCAGTTTGAGGCCAGCCTAAACTACATAGTGAGATCTTATCTCAAAAAAAAATTTTATTCTAACATTTATTAGCTACAAAGCTAATGTGAGAGGTTGGGAGTCAATTACATTTCTCAGCCTGTTTCTTCATCTGCAAAACGGGACTAATAATACCATCTAGCTCATAGAGCTGTTTAGAAGATTAAAAAAGACAATGGACATAGAAAAACATGCCAGATAACCTCTGGAATAAAATAAACGTTGAATGCTCGCTGCTGTCTTCTGTATCATCATCTTATAAGCATAGCTACCAATACAATACATTCAATACCAATACATTCTTTCTCACAGTTGGACATTTGGTGAAATTCACAAAGTTTAAGTGTTACATCACAACATAAAAGAAAACACTTTCAACTCTTAGAAATAATAATCCAAAAATCTATAAATTTAAACTTTTTTATACCTATCAAAAATCTGAGGAATCAAAAGCTCTTTATGATTAATTATACTTAAAACATTATCTACCAGTGTGAACAAAGTTTATACCTAATATGTTATGTTCAAAAATAGTACCAAAAAAGTATCAGTACTTTGAAAGACTGATGACTCACTTTTTTAGTCTCTCTGATTAAAACCTAATATTAAAACTTAATATTAGATCATTTTCATGTTGAATTTAAATAAATCAGTTCTCAAATGTTTAGACAATGTGTAGAACAATGGATAACTAAAAAGTAAATCTACATTTGGATTTTTCACCTTTTCAAACTTTTTACCTGGGATACAAGCATCCCTACAATTTACAAAATCATAATAGCCTTAGCTGTTCAGGCCTATCGTATTTCCTAGTTCACTGGTTATTTTTTATTCCTGAATCCATTCTGTAGTTAAATACTAGTACTTCTCAGACAAATATTAAATCCTCTTTTTAAACTACTCCATAATGTGATCTCACTATATTTCTAATTCTTCTGTTCTCTGACTTGTAGAAAGTAATTAGGAAAGTCTTTCATTCTCTTAAGGACCTTTTGCAGTGGAATAACTGGGAAGAATTAACATCAATCTTAATTAAATAAACAGGATTTTGAAAGCAAAATTTTTACCCCAGTTGACAAGGGTGAGGATGGAATTATAAATATTGTATTGTCTCCTAATTACAGCATTCAAGTAAAGCACTGAGTACTGCCTTGTGCACCCAAGAAATTTAGTGGCTTGCATTGAAGGGGGTGGGGGGGTTAAGAGAAATCCATAAAAAATACGTAATGTGAAACGATAGCAGTGTAAAAACCAGATAGCACAGTAGGAAAAATTCTAGAAGCAGTCATTCCAGACTTGAATCTAGGCCTCATCACCTACTCATTATGTTATTGACAAGTTACTTGCCTCTAGATTCTAGATCTGATCAATAAAATGCCTACCTTGGGCCGGGGATTTAGCTCAGTGGTTCCAGCGCCTGCCTCACAAGTGCAAGATCCGAGTTCGATATCCCCAGTACCAAAAATATAAATAAAATAAAATAAAATGCCTACCTTGCAAATCTGTTGTCAGAATAAATCCAAAGTATTTTACATAATGCCTGGAACATCCTAGGCACTCAATAAATGTTGCTACTGTTATTGTTATCTTAGAACTGGAAGATTACTCAATTGAATTCTCTCATTTAACAGATGAGGACACTAAAATATCACAAAGCATAATATGAAATGTTAAATGAGTGCAACAAAGATTTATGACAAGTTCATAAGCAACATATGAGTATTCCAGTAAGGCTTTCGGGATAGACTTTTAATAATGAAACCCAACAATAAAAAGGCACAATTTGATTTTTGTTACTGATTTTCAAACAAGTAGTTCTGAACATAAATACTAAGTACAACATTTATATGGCAAATATAAAAATAGGATAAGCCCATGTCAGAGAGGTTAAAAATCCAGCTGTAGAGAATGACGATGTATTATTTAATAAGCGCGCGCGGGGGTGGGGGAGGTGGGCTATTTAAATTCAACAGGTGAAGCTACAATGAAAGATGAGGACTTCAAAACTTGCTTCCCTTGCAAGATTTAACTTTTGTTTTACGACAAACTGAAGACAACATTCACTAAACACCCTTTAGCTGTAGTTAATTCTGGGCTACTATATATCTTACTCTCTATAAATGCACAATAACCCGTGCAATTTGTTTAAAACATATAAACTTTAAATGAACCACCTGGTAGCCTTTCATGACAATAAGGTCACCACTATGTTAATCATCTCCACCAAAACTGTGTTAGGTTTATTACAACAGTATGTGCTATACACACATTAAGTCAGCGTCACTAAGGACATACTTTTTTGAGTTGAATAATTTCCGCAGTAGAACTAAATTTCTAAAGCCTCTTCCTTTCCCATGAAATCTTTACTAACGTTTGGTAATAGTTTTAATTTCGAGAATTTCTCATTCAGCTACTAAATATAGACTCCTTCGAAATGTACACATTATTCTTTTAAAAGAAACTGAGCTAAATTCCTAGGAAACTAAGTTCCAAGCGGTAAGACACAACATCTAATTTCTACTTTACTGAAAACAGGAAATGTAATCAATTCACTAACAACTACTCAATTAGGACAACACTGAAAATAAGTTAATAGAATAGGGATAACTAGACTTTGCTTTGAAAAATATTACAACCCCGAGGATTTATCTTTTGAAGGGAGCTGAAAAACTAACACTGAGGGGAAAAAGGGTCAAAACCTGTAAGATCGGTAAGTGATACAGCAGACATGCACTCTAAGGGAAAGTTAATTTTATTCTCTATCCCGAGTTTTCCCTGAGTGCTTTGAAGTTTCTCAACACAGCAGCAACAATTTTGATGGGGCAGACAAACATAAACAAGCCATAAACAAGCGTTCTCCCTGTATACGGAGAAGGGGCTGGCAAGATATGAATTCGACTAAGCAGAAACGGACAGAGAAAGGAGGCCAAATCTAGACCTAACCCTGCCAGAGACCCCGGGGAGCCAGCGAAGCATGTGAAGGGATCTGGGCTCCTCCCTTAGGGTCCCTAGCCTCCGGAGGCACCTCCGCCCGGCAGCGTGACTCAGGCAAGTACGGGTCTGGCCGCGGCCTAGCGCGGCTGCCTCCCCGACCTCCCGGGCCTGCTTTCTGGGCCTCACCTGAAGGCGGGCGGGAGGGAGTGGTCTGGACCCTTGTCTTGCTCTGCGGTGACTTGGTGGCGGCGGTGACAGCGGCTCAGACTCGGTCCAGCTGCAGCTCCGCGAACCTGCGATGAATCAGCCCGATTCCATTCAAAAAGAGTGGCCTGGGCCTCCGCAGCGAAGCACTTCCGGGTTCACTACTCTGCTTCGGCTTCCGTTCCCTCGACGGCCAATAGGAGACGGCGCGGGCGTCGGGCGGGCGTTCCCGACGGAGCCCTTAGGGCGGGTGGAGCTGTCAGCCGCAGCTTTCTCCGCTGAGGAGAGGGCGGAAGTTGGGGTCCCGGGGTCCTGGTGTCCTCCTTTTTCTCTGGCCTTGTCCGCGCTTCTCCAGACAGGGAGGTGACTGGCTTTCAAATGGAACTCGTAGTATCGCCGAACCTAGAACGCGTTTAGTTTTGCTTTTCATTCACTTTCCTCAAAAATCAGTAGTTTCGCTTGAACTAGACATAACTTGGTCAGAGCTGAGAAGCAGATGTAGAAAAAGGGGCGATGTGATTAAAGTAAAACACTCTTTTCCTTAGGCCATTTACCCACTTTGTCTTTATTGCTTTGCAAGGATTGGATTTCAAAGATTGGATAACGTTTTTCACAAATGTTCAAACCACCTTTAACCTCAGCTTAGTTTACACGGTTTGAAGGGTAATTCAATCACGTTTTTCCAGATAACCATATTTTACCCATTATGTGCTCTGCTAGTTTTTCAATTAGTAAAACTGACCAAGAAATGACTATTGACAAGTTTATGTTACGTTGTAGGTCTAGGGCACCACCATGTTTTACTAATAAACGTTCTCAAATATGTTCCAAATGACAAACATCTTAAAAGCTTTTTTCAAGCAAGCTTGGTGTGTGGTACATGCTTGTAATCTCAGTAGTCTAGGAAGCTGAGACAGGAGATCGGAAGTTCAAGCCTGCTTGTCATAAATAAATTAAATTTAAAAATCGATAGATACATAGATAGATAGATAAATTCCTCAATCAAGAAAGATGGAGAACCTTGTGGATGGAGGATGAGGAACAATTACAAGTAGATCCAAAAGTGTGATGTGAGTTACACAATTACATAGAATACCTCGGATATTCATATCTCTAAAACTACATAGATTATTTTATTCATAGGTAAGATTAGTTATACAGTATTGGATACATGACTTTTTTTTTTTTTTTTTTTAAATAATGGAACTGTTTGTTTTTTTTTGTACCGGCGATCAAACTCGGGACCTTGTACTTGCTTGGCAGGCGGCGGAACCACTGAGCTAAATCCCCGGCCCTGGATACATGTCTTTATATTTCCTCCCCAGCCTATGCCTTCTCTATTTACTTTTTAGTGAATAATCCCATTCTCCAACTAATATACCTAATCAGTAACCTGAGAGTAGACACCCACCTATTACACTTCCCCTTTGGTTTCCTAATTAATCACTGTAGAAGCCATCAAGTATCTAATCTTCAAAATAGCTGTTTTCAATTTACCACTCCTCTACTTCCAGTCTCTCCACTTCAGCCTTTGGCCTTAATTCATACGTTCCTCAGTTTTTGTTTTTGTTTTTCTTATAATCTTACATGAATCTCCTTGTTCTCCCTGCCTCTAGTCTGACCATCCTTAATTCTTCATGTCATTGGCAAAATTTTTTGTGCAATACAAATATAGTCATGTCCCTTCTTAAAATTCCACAAGTGATTCCTCATAACATTCATTAGAAAGGTAAAAGACCTCACAATTTTGTTTGGACAACCCTTTCTTTGTTCTAGCCATACTATATAGCTGAGGCATGAGATTTCATCCAGGTTTTGAAAAAGTCTGGCAAATTCCTATGATTTTAGAAGGTAGCATGCATGCTTAGGGTGTGCACATGCCTATGGCTATGTGAATATTCAAGAAAGACCTGAGAAAGTCCTAAGAGATCACCTCTGACTGACCTTGAGGCTCTTCAAGTAGGAAGTGCAGGCTAAGACAGAGCTGTAAATTTTAAACTGCCTGCTGACTGTTGAAGGCATGCCCCATATATATAAGCCCCTCAGCAAAGACTGTGAGACTTACTGATTGAAGATGTTTTGGAAACTTCTGCCCAATCATTAACCAACTACTAAGAAACTGAGAAAAATCTTCAGTAGTCACACATCATAAAGAATACAGACTTTATTTTGAAATGAGTTAAGAAAAGTCACTAAACCAGCAGCTACTGTAACAAACAGAAAAACAAAAACTTTGCAAGAGTAGAATCTGATTTCCAGAGTTGTCACATTATATTATTTAAATGTCTAGTTTTCAAAATAAGGTATACTACATGAAAGAAACAAGAACATATGGTCCAAACTCAAGACAAAAATCACCAATAGAGCTGGGCTTGTTGATGAAAGCCTGTAATTCCAGTACCAGGGAAGCTGAAACAGGGGGATCTGAAGTTTGAGCCCAGCCTGGGAAACTTAATGACACCCTGTCTCAAAATTTTTTAAAAACAATTTTTTTTTTAAGGGCTGGGGATGTAGTTCAGTGCAAAGACCTGGATTTCAATCTCTACTTGCACAAGAAAAAAAAAAAATCAATCGAAACTACCCCCTGAGGATGCCTACATACTGGATTTACTAGATTAAAACATTGAATTAAATATTTAAAATATGTTCACAAAGCTAACAGAAATATTGTCTAAGGAACTAGATGGGACCAGGGATGTGGCTCAGTGGTAGAGTGCTTGCCTCAGGTACACAAGGTCCTGGGTTCTATCACAGCATTGCAAAAAAAAAAAAAAAAAGGAAAATATGAAAAAGATGTTTCATCAAAGAAATTAAAAGAGAAATTATTTGTACAAACCTGAACAATTCTGGTGTTGAAAGGTTTAATAACGAAAATGAAAAACTTAAATGAGTTCAATAGTAGATTTGAGCAGGCAGAAAAAGAATCTGCAAATTTCAATACAAGTCAGCTGATATTCATCCAATTTGAGGAATAGATAAAAAAACAGAAGAAATATGAACAGAGACTCAGGGACCTGAGGGATACAATCAAGCATACTAACTCTTCATGATGGGAGTCTCAAGAAGGAAAGGGAAAAGAGAATGGGCCAGACACAATACTTGAAGAAACAATGGGCCCTCAAACTTCCTAAATTTGATGAAAGCCATTAATCTGCACACCCAAGAACTCTAACAAATGCTGAGTAGGATAAACACAAGAAATCCACACCTAGACACTATAATCAACCTGTTGAAAGATAAAGACAAAAAATCTTGAAATTGGGAAGAGAGAAGATAATCATCTCACAAGCCTCAATAAGATTTAGAGCGGAAGCTATAAAAGTTGGAAAGTAGTGGAATGACTCCTTAAAATGCTGAAAGAACAGTATTACCAAACAACAGTTCTACCTCTAGCAATACTGTGCTTCAAAAATGAAAGGGCTGGGGATTTAGCTCAGTGGTTTTGCTGCCTGCTGCGCAAGCACAAGGACCCGAGTTCGATCCCAGTACCAAAAAACCCCCAAAAAACAAAAACAAAAAACCCAAAATCAAAAATGAAAGGGAGGGGCCGGGATTTAGCTCAGTGGTCCGGCTGACTGCCTCACAAGAGGAAGGTCCCGAGTTTGATCCCCTTTGATCCCCGGTGCCAAAACAAAACAACAACAAAAAAAACAAAAATGAAAGGGATACTGATGTTTTCCCAAAATATATGTATAAATAACAATAAAGAGAATTTGTAACTAGGAAATTTTCTGTACAGGAAACAATGAAGGGAGTAGTTCAGGCAGAAATAAAAGGACAAGTCCACATGAAGAAATAAAGAAAATCTGTAAAAATAACTACGTAAGTAAATATAAAGATCATAAAAATTATTTTTATTTGCAACTCAATTTTTCTCCTATTTTATTTAAAAGACAATTGCATAAAATAACATAAAGGGTGGGAATATTATACATAAAAATGTAATTTTTATGACAATAACAGAAGAATGAAGGAGATGAAGTATATTGTACTAAAGTTTTTATATGCTATTGAAATTACATTGTATTAATCCATACTAGATTGTTGTTACTTTTTAATCATAATCCTCAGAACAAGCACTAAGAAAATACAGTGATACTTAGCTTGTTAAATGGCTCTGAACTTAAAGTTTCCACTACTCAAAAAAATCTGCTTGGACACAAAGGAATGACACTTCAGTCTAAGCGCCACTCTTCTTTTTCTTCCAGTAGCGGCGAGCTAACTCAGGACCTTTCGCTTGCAAGGCAGGTGCAGTGCCACTGAGCTAAATCCCCAGCCCTTTTAAGTGTCACTCTTACCAAGACAACATATAGTGCTTGTTTAATTTATGGGCCCCAGAATCAATTATTTGGTTTTCCATTATTTCTTATGGGAAAATATGTTCAGTTTTTGAACTTTTTGGTGTTTGAACAAGAATTTAGAATGAATTGAGTTTGATAACATTATCACTGTATTCAGAAAATGATAAAAACAAGAGAATTAAAATACTAAAAAAATGTATTTGACATAATAAAAGCCAGCAGTAATGAAGGAATAGAGAAAAAATATGACATAAAGAAAACAAATAGCTACCCTTGGGATGAAGCTTGTACTTTTTACCAGAAGATGTGAAGGAAGAAAAGAAACAAATAGCAAAATGAAAAATGTAAATCTCACCTTATCAATAACTACATTAAATATGAATGGGATAAACTCTGTAAGACTATAGGGCAGAAATTGGCAAAAACAGAAAAAACCCCAAAAAGCCCCAACTATATTCTGTCCACAAGAGATACATTTTAGATTCAAAGACACAAGTAAGTTGAAAGTGAAAGGATGGGAAAAGTAGGGCTGGGGATTTAGCTCAGTGGTTCTGCCGCCTGCTTTGCAAGCACAAGGTCCCAAGTTCGATTCCTGGTACCAAAAAAAAGAGGATGGGAAAAGTATAAATGGAAACAATAACTGAACTGCAATAATCACTTTAGAAATTGTTCTAGCACTTAACATAAACTACCAAATATATATACATGTATATATATTACTAAATATATATACATATGTTCACACTTGGACTTGGATATAATACTTCAACTTTACTAGTAAAAGCTAAAAGTAAACTGTAGTCAATCCAAATGTTTGTCAGCTGGTGAATGGATAAAGTGTGGTCTGTCTACTGAATAACAGTACCCTACAAA